GAAGCCATTTGTCCATCCTTGTCATACCCCCCCCCCCGGTTTGATAGCCATGCAGTTTTTTCTAGAAAATTTTGGTGTCAACGTTTAGCACAATAATTAAATGGTGCAGTAAGAGGCACACACATACACGCACGCACACACGCGCACACACATACACGCATGCACACACATGTAGGGTAAACATATCCTTATGGGGACCGCTCATTCATTTCAATGGGAAAAATGCTACCACTAACTATGACAACCTTAACCCCTACCCTGCCCTAACCATAACCATAAATAACCAAACAAAATGCAAGAGTTTTTGCATTTTTAGTTTTTTCATAGCAGTCACCGATTTTTATAAAATAGAGTTTTCCCTTATGGGGACCAGGAAACCGGTCCCCATAAGGGAAAAAAACGGATATTTATCACGTTATGGGGACATTGTGTAAATAGGTAAACCCGCTCGCGCACACAGACACACACACATTTACAGCAGCATAAATAAAGATATTTAGGTGATGCACAGCATCCTATTGGAGTACAGCAAGCGATTCTCCCTCCAAGGACGTAAACCTGAAACTTCTGGTCAAAACCCGAGTTGCATAACAAAAACACGACCACAATATGACCTATTTATACCTATAAAGGGGAGAAACAAAAGGCCCTAAAACGATAGACAGGCGCACACTGGAGATCGCCCATCACTGCACTAATGCACAGAAGACCTCCGTTTGGAAAGTGAATGGTTTACATGGAGCGTTCTCTCATTTATTTTGAGGATAAGCCTTTCCTACGCTTTCCTACAGTTAGTATATTTCCCCACATCTTAGCCAGACACAAAAGGTTCACGCTGTGCCCTGTTCCTATGTGAAACCCCCCCCTCCCCGAGCAAGGCTGGTAAGGTGTCAGAGAAGGATGCGAAGAGGCATGATCAATTACCCCAATCAGCCCAAGGACATGTGACCAATGGCTGTTGCTCATTCTAAAGAAAACCTTCTCAGCTATACATAGGACTCATATTAGTGTACATAAAGTCCAGAATACAAGGTCTGCTTTCCTGAAAGTGTAAGGACACATAAGCCACTTTCTGAGGTTGTATATGATGTGAAGTCAATGCCCCTCCCCTCCCCCCCCCCCAAACTACAGTGAGTATTGTTAAAGTAGGACACCTAGCAAAAATGGGACAGTTACACTTTGCAGTAAATATATGTGTTTAGTAATGGTTCATCTTTTCTTCTATGTAGCGTTAAAGGGGCATAAATGCATTTAGAATGCTATCAATTTGGGATTCAGGACACGGAGATGATTCTGTAAATTTTTCCAGAAAGCGAATTTCCAGAAAGTGCCCCACTTTAACAATACTCACCCTACATCTGACACTCAAGACGCCATATTTATCCATCACTCATCTCTTTTCCTAATAATTTTATAGCAAAAACCTCAATATATATATATGTCACAGTCCCGTTAGTCATTTTGAAACCTTGACAAAGGGAATTACGATGTACTTCTACTTCTATACTTGTGCACTGAAACCCGACATTCAAGCATCAACACCACCACATACCTGGTTCGGGTGTACCATAAGCTGGGAGGGGGCAAAAATGAGGATAGTCTGGGGGTCCCTAAGGACTGGGTTAAGAGACACTGGATTAGGTGACGCTGTGAGCCCACCAGCCCGATCTCAGAATGGTCTCTAAATGTCTATGATCCATTTCATGTGCAGATCGACACTGAACCTCATAGCCCAAGGAGGGTCGGAGGGTCTCTAGTTGCCAGAACTGGCCACCATCCCACAAACACGTAACCAAAGCTGGTGAGGTTTAGACCTTCGTCGAGAGGCCATTTACCATGAAGGTGCTTCTAGAAGCACTTCAGAAGGGTGCCAGCCAAGCAGGAAAGTGGCTGCTTAAAAAAACAACAACAAGGAATGCCGAATCAGTAAACAGTGTTTATTTGTTCTGCCCCAGCAGCAAAGCCAAGAGGAACTGGGTTCATTTTTCTCCATGAAGAGAGAAATGAAATGTTAACTGGTAGTTGCCGGCTTGATGCTTTTCAATTTCGTTGCTAAAACAAGCTTTGGTTCCCTCGTCAGCTGTTTCGGGCTGGGACACTGTCGACAATGAGGGCGTGCAGACACGCAGACATGCAGACACGCAGACCACAGCAGGCGGACCCCTCTCTGGAAGATCGGTGCGGGGTTCGGGAACACGGCGCCTGACTTGGCCGGTGGGAACGCCGGCCCTTCTGGGAGATTTCTGGGGAGTACCCCGTCTCACACATGTAGATCAGGGTTATGACACCTCCTTCTTCTCTGGCCACTTGGGGGGGGGGGGGTGTAATCCTTGTGTGCTACAGAGCCACAAACTCGAACAGCCAAGGCAGAGAACAGACAAGCATAAAAATAGTTTTTTAAAAATCCTCCAAGGCAACAGGTTTGAGGACCATATGAGGAGCATCTCAGTCACCTTAACAGCTGGGGAGATGCATCTTTCAGAGCCCAACCCGATCCAGAACCTGACCCAACCCGATCCAGAACCTGACCCAGGAATCTGCCGGCATCGCATGCTGAATCCGGCCCATATCGCAGGAACAGATGGACGTTTCGAGAAAACAAAGAAAGCCCAAGTAGCCAGCACTTTACCCTGAGGTGAGGCATCCTGTCGGGTGTTTAAAGTCTGACTCACGTTACGGGGAGGAGCCTTCATCCCGACGTCATGGCCATTCATCACCTGTCTGAGCTCCACCGCAAGGCGCCTTTATAGTGGAGCAGAGCCCCACATTTAAACACTGAAGTGCGTCTCCCACAGATCACTCAGGACTGGGGGTCGCTGATGGCAGTTCGGCACAGCCGAGTAACACCACCTTCTTTCACCCCCACCACAGTCTTTATTATTTCCACAGCAGCCCTGAGCCTCAAACGTCCACATCTTTAAATAAGACGCTTTCATCGTCGCCCTTAAAAGACAGCTGATTGAATGGCCATTATCTCCCCGGCGGTGTGGTGTCAGGTTACCTTACGCATGCCGCCCCCCCCCCGCTCCGCTCCCCTCCACGGACACACCTCCTAGCCGGGAGCCTGGGGATCACGAGCTCAGACAAAACCCACTCGCCACAAGCTTACCCTCTCAGTTACTCACTGGGTCTGATCACCAGAGACGCCCCTCGGGGGCAGATAGAGGAACAACGGGAGCTGATTTCCACCGAACCATCCATGCTGAAAGAATACCTCACACTGATGCGTTCAGATAGGAAGCGACTGTGTGGACACCACCAGAACTAGATCTTATCAATTTCACCACTTTCGCCTTTGGGGTGACTCTCCATATGTGTCATTTGCCTCCCAGGGACTGGGTTATGGGGTCTGTTATGGCATCTGAGGGACGGTATCATTGTGCTCTTTCTGTAGTAAAAGATCACAGCCATCCTGCGTGTACTCAGCTGAAATCCCATTTACTGACTTCCAAAGCCCTCTCACAGAGAGGATCATAACAGTCACTTCCTTGGGGGCTCAAAACGCTACGGGCACAAAATGAGTGTTTCAAATAAAACACACTATTTTGTTTCATTAAACCTTCAGTCCATCTATGTTTTCCTTTGTCAGCCAAACCTAAAAAGCACTTTGTGTAGAATCGCCTGTCAAACAATGTATGGCTTTTGTAATGGATTGACTTTAAAATAAAACTATTTTACTGGGAGCAACAATTAACAAACGGCATCTAACTCTCTGAAAGACAATTTAAAAAATACCGAAATGACTAAACTTACATACGAGTAAACAGACAAATGTGGTACTGGTTAGATTAAGAAACAAGTACCACGCACCACAGAATCAGCAGTTATTAAACAACAACTAAACCCTCCATTGAAACACTTTGTGGTTTGGTTTATGTTAAAAAGAAACACTCGTAATCGCTTTGTAAGTAAGAGGACCACACATCCCCAAGTCCTGGGATAACTGAGGTCTGGTTTAAAGAAGATGAAACAGCATCATGCACCGTTGCTGTGGTACTAAAGCCCACATTATCTGAATCTCTTCTAGGGACGAGACTTTAGTACCAGTTACAACATACAGTACTAATCTCCGAATGTAACCCCCCCAACCACCATTACAGGAAATTCACACAGCAGAGACATCTCTACTAATTTTATCTTGTGGCCCTTGAGGTGGTTTCCCTGTTCAATCTCTGCCGTTTCTATCAGCCGAGGTGACTGTAAAAATCACTGGTCATCACTAATAACATTAAGAGCACATCTGTGCGCCCCCAATACCTATGTTTTATGGGACACTTTCCCTGCCACCTTTTCGGAAGTTGTCCGCCAGTTAGAGCCCACATTTTCCGGGGTGTTTCATTGAGCACAAATGGATTTAAAAATGAACAGTTTCACCAGAATGCTGAAAATAACTTCTATGTCGCGGAAGACCAAGTTGTAGAGTGAAAAATAAATGGGTCCCAAATTTTGCCGTTTCCACTAGACACCACGTATTTTTCTCCGGTTCGGTCGGTGACGCGCACCGCGGTTCCGTCTCCGGACAAGCCGCGAACGCCGGCGTCCCCTGACCCAGCAAGCCAGCACCCATAACCCGCTCGAACCAGGGCTCTGGAGACGGAACAGACCGCCGATTATGCGGGGTCAGACTGCAGTCGGCATCGGTTTTATCCCGTCAGTGTTACTGTATACTGTAAAAAACACAGTGAGATCGCCGCGGGGGAAACGCACCACGTATGTACCGGGTCCGGGGAAGGCAGGGGGCAGGAGGCATGGTCCCGGTCCAAACCCAAATGAGGCAGGAGATCGCAGAAGGAGCGGCTCGTTAAAATGAGTGGGACTTACCGTGCCCGGCCGTACAAACTGTGGATACATTTGGCAAGACCGGATGCGCGATCGATACATTCAGCCGGCGTGCGAAACCGGAGGATGAAAAAGAGATGAAATGTAATGCTGCCGATAAGCAGGACGAGTCGCTAACATTAACAGGGAGACGCTCACGCCGCGGCCGGCTGGCACCTTACCGGCTGCTGTCCGCGCCGATCGCTCCCCTTTCCCGGCGGCAGCGGGCGATGCTGCCCGCCTTTCAGCGAGTCTCCGGCGACGTTGCCGGCGCCCGCGGCTCCCCGCTTCTCCCGGACGCTGGAGCCGGCGCTGGCCGCTCCCTCGCCCGGGTCCAGGCTGCTGAAGTTCCAGACGATGAGCGTCTGAAGCAGCAGCACCGTCAAAGCAGCGATCAGGGCTGAGCGGGAGCGCCGGGCCAGCTTGCGAGCGCACGAAGCGCCCACCATGTTCGCACTGAAGCACGGCCGGCTGTGTGCTGCTGTGTGGCGAGTAGAGGGGGATGATCGTGCTGGATGAGGCTGACTGGAGAGAGACGGGGACGCCGCGAGGAGAGGCAGAGCCCCCGTGTGGCAAAGCGCGGCAGCCGGCAGGCGGCTCGGTGCATTCCTGCACAGTCCGAATGGGCGCCTTGGGCACAAAAACCAGGGCAACTTTTACCTTAAAGACACGCAGCTCTGTAATTCTTTAATTCCCATCTGGAATTAAAATGGTTAAACGTTTACAGCCCTTTTTTTTAAATATAATAATGACTTTAAAAAGTAATATGCAGCATAATAGGGTTGCCAACTCAGGCATCTGGCGTGACAGTCACGTTGTCAGACATCTTACGGAAAACCTATATTATTCCATTACAGTCCTAACATTAGCTATATGAAAAAAAAATATGGCAGTTTGCAGACCCTATAGATTATGTACAAGGTATTAAAACTGTTACATACATGTAAATGTGTGTGCATGTATGTGCAGACTTGTCTTGAATTGAAAATCTCATTCCAGCCAGCTGATCGAGTTGGCAGCCCTGTCACAGCCTCACTGGTTAGTTTAGGAGGATGCTGGACAGACCGAATCAGGTTATGGTTTCCATTAAGCCGTTTTGAGAACTTCAAGATACTCCATGTAAATCAATGTGGTGAGTGTTAATTGCTATTGACTGATCTGAGCAAATCAACATGACTTTCTTCATGAAGAAAAATTCATGGAAAGTTCATGTGAGGTCTGAGGGCTTACTTTCCTTGTGACACATCACATTGCTCGACATGCAGTCACGGTCATGGCACAATATTAACACCAACAACCATTAACTTCCCATCATTTTCACCAGAGCTGACAGACTCATCCCTGATTCGTTAAGGGTGGGGCCATGGCCTTCTATAACCAAAGCCTGCTGGTTCAAATACCAGGAGGACACTTCCTATAGGCGTGTCTTTGAACAAGGTATTCAACATGAATCACTCCAGCAGTACAGTAACAACGAAAACAAAAATATCTGAGTGGTACTAAACCACAATGGCACTCTTACTAGAAGGAGCATTTTTGCACAGACCTCTGACATTGTGGTTAGGAATCAAACAAGGAAATTGGTCATTTTATCTGAAGCCCTGATTCTTATCATATGTCAGCTGGCCGCACTGTATGGAGGGCAGAGCCACTGGACAGGCCATGTTAGCTGGCATTTAGAGAAGCCAAGGGCTATTTTCATGAGTGGGATAAAACGGGGCAACACAAGAGCAACACAAGGTGCAAAGCTTACATCTCAAAATCCCACCTCAATTCCATGTTTTGTGGGTTACCTCCAGCTACTCCACTTTCTTCAATTTCTAATTAGACAAACTGGTGCTTTTGTATTGCCTGTACTATGTGGTTGTGTGTATTTGCCGTGCGATGGACTGGCATGCCGTCCAGGGTGCCCTTCTGCCTGGTGCCCTGTGCTTCCTGGCATGGGCTCCAGGTTCCCCGTGACCCCGCACTGGGTAAGCAGATGGAAGATAGAGTGATGATGTGAAAACATGTGGAAAAAATGTTAGTATCTTAGCAAAATGAGGAGCACGACTCCCGCGTTTGGCAACAAAGCCTGGTGGTGATTAAGCGACATTCTGATTTGGCTTCTTCTCACTCTCCATCCAGCTGTCGGGGGTAATGAGCAAAAGCCCCATTACTCTGCTCGCGAAGAGCCTCACAAGACGGCGACGGCAGCAGGATTAGTGCCGCGACCGGCTCCTCTCGCCAGGCTGATGGTGTTCGACAGTGTCAGGCTGTCTTTCTGAGTGTTGTCCTCTTTGGCCCCAGGAGAATAACAAAGAAATAACTCAGCTTCAATGTCTCAGAACACTCAGTGTTACTCTGTCGCACACGCTGGGTATTTTTTTTTAAGACACGTAACTAATTAACAAAGACTGAGACTTGCCAGGAGACAAATATACTTGACTTTGATATTTTCCTGTCATTGATGATCATTCAAACCTTGATTTCACTTTTATCAAAAGGGACGTATATTTTTTTGTAAAACCTGGGAACTATTGGAGGTTAAAGGTCTAGCTCAAGGGTTAAATAGAGAAATCACTCTGCTGACTCTGGGACCTCAGCAACCTCACGGTCAGAGGCACAGCACCCTGACAAAATGTAGATTACCACTGGCAAACCACATATATGAATGATCTTAATACGGCGACTACAGCAAGAAAAACCTCTTTCTATTCTTTCTGAGACTCGGTATTTTGACTGCTGCATCAACAAATAGAAAATGTGGACAAACCAGTCTAGCTGTAAGAAAGGTTACTCAGACTCATGGATTGCAGGCTGTTGTTGCAACAGAGGCAGGGACGTGATTAACGAGGTGGCATGTCTGTATGCCACCTGGATCATCGTGGCGGGGCAGTCATGCATGCCCTGCGCGCGGAGCGAACGCCATACCTGCCGCCAATATCCGCATGCTCTGTTTGCGGTGACGGACATGGTGCACAGATGAATCGGCTGTCATTAACCAGCTGCGTTACTGCCCACAGCGGCTTTGCGGCCGGTCCTGCAGACTGGCCGCATGTCCTTCACCAGCCGATGAATGATGTAATGGGTGCAGATAACTCTGTCAGTGGAATATGAAGACGCTTCACTTGTGATCCACCTGTTCCCAGCAAACCCCCCCCTCCCCCCCCCCAGCAGGGGGGGGAATCTCAAAGGCGTGACGGATGCTGCCGTCGGCTTTTCACCCTAAGCCTCCTCCTTTGGTATAAAATATTTTCCCTCACCCAAAGTGACGGGCACTGCTGTCTGACCCTACGGACTCATCAGGCTGTTCACCTGTGGGAAAAGTCATTTTCGGGTGACAAACCAAAGCCAAATGCACTGCCACGGTCTGCAAAAGGCTATTTTAAAAGGCTATTGGTATCTAGAATGTATTTTCCGTGCATATACTTTCTGGATTCTAGTTTTGTTTTTTTATACTTATACTTTTACTTATACTTTTTTATATAATCTATAACAATAATTTTAATAGAGTTCTAAAGAGTTGATTTAACATCACAGTTTAAGACAGTGTTTGCCAAACCAGTCCTTGAGGCAGACTGGACAGATCCACATTTTAGTTTTATCCCAGTTCCCAGAACATCTAACTCAAGCAATCAGGAGCTCTAAATTCCATACAAATGTCCTGGGATCCACTGACAGGATTGGTTTTGGAAACACTGGTTTAAGAATATTAAGGAAATAAACATTTGCACAACCTGATCTCATGATTCAAATGTAACCCATTTATGATTTCAGTGTTTGAACTTTATTTCCATCCAGTTCAGTCCAGCCCAGTCCAGGTCAGGTCAGGTTGGGGAGCACGCACTGGTACAGCACATTGCCACACCCACCACACAACGAAACACCTTGAGGTCCTGGTTGGCGACCCCCCAAGCAGACACGCAGTCCAGTCCCACCCTCCGGAAGAGACCATCTATCTGCCGCAGCCAGGAGTTACATGGGCGTCCCCTTGGCCTGGTCCAGCAGCTTGGGTCCTCAGCAGTGAGGATCCTGCGAGCCGGATCATCGTCAGGGAATCGCGCCACATGGCCGTAGTGCCGTAACTGACGCTCCCTCACAATGAAGGTAATGTGCCTCATTCAGGACTCCTCTAGCAACCGCTCATTCGACACAAAGTCAAACCAGCGGTACCCAAGGATTCTCCGAAGAGACACAGTACCGAAGGAGTCCAGTCTTAATCTCAGATCACTGGATAGTGTCCATGTCTCACAGCGTTACAGCGAGACAGGGAGCACCAGGACTCCTTAATAACATGAATATACCTGTGCACCTGAAAAGGTCTTTATTGCAGACTACTTTTCAAATAACAAATAAATCAGTGCCTCTATTTAGCACAACCCAAGCAGTAAAAGTAAACTTTGCACATTGATCTCTTCACACTGTTAGTATAAAATGTAATCACCGTGTGATATATCATAGATTCATGCATTCTCCATAAGCACTTCTCCAGTATAGGGCTGCAGGGTTTCAGAAACCTTATGAGAAACCCACATGCCATATTATGGGGTGTGCATAGGGTCTATAGTATAAACGTTCCATTTTCAACTTCATCTAGATCATAATTTATATATATATATATATATATATATATATATATACACACACACATACACACACACACACACACAGAGTTTATGTATGTTTTAGATACTAGGAATTCACAAACGTTTCTCATACAGAGTGACTCTTCATTGCTATTAGTTGAGAACTTTACGCTGTGTTATTTGAACTTTGGAAACTTGTAGATGAGCACAGGGAAATGAGGTGGGTGTGACGATCTCCATGGCGATCTAACATGTAGTTACATGCTACAAGGACAGAGTTATATCTTGTCAGACCGTGTTTCCAATCCGGTTCTTGAGTTTCTGCTCCCGTCCCGCTCCCTGCTAGACAGTCCACATTTTAGCAAAAATGTCTGCGGGTTCCCAAGGACCGAATTGGGAAACACTGTTGTAAGGCATCCTCCTCTTTGGCTAACACGCTGTCAAACCCCTGATGTATCCTAAAGCCAAGAGGTGAACCTGCGGTGACCTCCCGTCGTGTCCTGATCCAGGGACTCGTATAAAACCGCTCTAAGTAAAATTAATGACAACTGAAAATAATGGTGCTACAACAACAAGTTTGCTCCGCCTGGGATACCCCGGCAAGAAATATAATAGATTTTCCAGAAGGATCTGTCAGCATCAAGCTCCACTTACACAAATCATTGTGATCTCAGGTCCAAATGCTGCCTGACCTGATTCCCCCAGACATCAAAATGGGACACATGGAGATCCAGCAGTGGCCTTCATACGTTACGAAGAATCCCTAAAATATGAGGAATAGAGGTCTATAGCAGTGTTTCCCAATCCGGTCCTCAGGGACCCATAGAGAGTCCATGATTTTGCTCCCTATCGCAAGCTGGGAAGGAGCAAAAATGTGGGCTGTCTGTTAGGAAGCTCAGAGGGAGCAAAAACATGGACTGGCTCTGGGACCTCGAGGACTGGATTGGGAATCACTGGTCCAGAGCCATTGGAGGCTGCTTCCAATATTATCTTCATGTGTGCTAGCAGCTCTAAACAATCTTCTGAGGA